TACTATTTCTCTGGGGAAATCTGTCAGCAGATGACTTCCGATACTCTAGGTAATCTCCGCATGACGAACTCCCGTCGCCGGGAACGTGAAAGTTTCATTTAAAATCTCGAAGAAGAATAGGAACAACCCAAAGCTCTTCTAAGTTTTCAGAAACGTTACTTCCAAGAAGACACGTTAAAAATTTCCAAACCTTTTTCTAAGGAGATTTTTATTTAATCCTTAATTTGCGATAATGACTTTAGACGTTTCAATGGACGGGCCAGAATGTTTATAATTTCTTTTTATCACTACTTGGGTGTTGTAAGTGATTCAGTGTACTCCGCGAAACGTACTTTTTGGACCGCTTCGCCGTCCGAGATGATATTATCTGTTAAACTGCTTAGAACAAGTTTAAAATGCGTTTCTAGCAATACGCTGATCTATTCGCATTTCCCAAGAAACCTGATGTAAGGAAGAGGAAGCATGGTAATTTATAGTGAATATTGCAACTTTTCGTTTCCGCAAAGGTGCTCCAAAAGTGCTCCGCTGCTTTTTTAACGGCATGTAAATGAATTATGGTTTATTTTAAAATCATATGTGTCCACATATATAGCTTATCTATCCGCAAAGTATGATATATGCCATCAATAATTATATATTTGTACATCATTCGTCTTTTAATAAAGGCTAGTGGTTGTTGTAAAAAATTTCAATCTAAGCGGAATTTTTTTATTCTGCCCATCATCGAATATTTGTCGTTTCGGTAATAACAATGAGTGACGTGCTTTAGGAATCCTATGAACGTGAATATATGACTTGACTAAACACAAGACCTTAAAATGACTTATGCATATTTCCGTTTTGTCCGTCCCTCCATCCACTCTTCTCCGTTACATCTTTCTTTAATGCAAAAATTACAAAATGAAAACTGAAAACTTTTATTCTCTTAGCTTATGATTGAGGAGAAAATGGTCTGTCGAAAACCGTAAAGAAGAAAATAACTTTACTTTTGATTGGTTCATCAATGCCGACAACCAGTATATAAAAGATATGGTTTTGAAATTTGATTGTAAAGTGTTTCGAAAGTTTGAATACGAATTTTCGATTTCGATTAAGGAAAAGGTGATAAGCAAAAAAAATTCTCTTTATTAATGATAGGCAGGGTATGCATGATTCGTCCCGATGCGATGACAATTTGTTTCACTTATTTTGCTGCTCAAGTTGATTTTCTTTCGAATGTATATCGAATCTGCGTGTCGCTTAATATTCTTGATATGCGCAAGAGGATGATGGGACGATGAAATGTATGAAATTAATGAGATTAATTAAAAAATCAAACATATAATCAAATCAAAAAAACGTAAACATACAGCCAAGCAGGGTGCTCGCATAAAGATGTGCACGTAAGTGGCTACGAGAAATGCTACATAGTAGCGGCCCATAAGTCTTTAGCGGTTTTTCACTTTAAGATTGTGTTTATTTTGGTTGTTTCGTGTATATCTTGTTTTATTTCTTGATACTTTCTTGCATGCCATGCATGCGATTGCTGTCCATCAGTCTATCTCTGTCTATCTATAGAAAATGGTTAATCATTTCTCATTTACTCCCATTAAGAATCTTCTAAGAAAATATGCAGAAAAATAAATGTTGCGTTGCCAAAGATCCTCTTAATCGACATAAATTCATCCACACACATACACATACAAACGCTCAAACATATCGAGGTAAAATGAAAAAAAAAAAAAAACAAAAAAACCAAATAAACCGAAAAATCATTTCAGCGCATTTTCTAATTCGATCTGATCGAATAGCAATTTTTTAATTGATACTAATCATTAGACTTGAGTGATTATTGTGGTGCGCTAACGTAAACACACAACGGTTTATTGCTCCGAATTTTATACACATTCACCGCTATACACATTACTTTTATTATTAAAAAAAAAAAAAAAAAAAAAAAATTTTAAATTTCTCCATTTCCGTTATAACAAATATCAAAAAAAAAAAAAACCAAAAAAAAAACAAAGAAAATCTATATATATTTTATTTAAAATTATCTTACAAAATCACAACATAAAAAGAAATCAAATAAATAAACAAAAAGGATAACTAAACCTAGAAATTATTACACCTTTACAATTTATTGGATTAATTTAATAAACACACAAAATGGTGAGTAATTAACTTGCGTTGCTGCTTGTGTCCATCATCACTCCACATCATGGCACATATTTATGGGATTATGCAGCATTTGTAGTCAGGGAAAACGTCGTTGAGTAATTACCTTGCCGCGCAATAAGTCTTGCGAAATAAATTTAGTCTCGCGCATCTGTACAGTTTTCTCTTACCATTTCATTGCTTCGACGTAATAATCCTTGTGATGGAATTTCATGTGTAAATTGAAATTTTTCAAAGCATTCAAATAATTTTAAAATCGAGTTTTATGTGCTCCCGAGGCATCTAAGGACAGTTCATTACATTAGCAACGCTCTAGTGTTGCTTATAGTACAGAGTTGAAGAATCGCTTAAGCTTATATCTACTTTGAGCTTTCAGGTCGAAACTCATTTGTCACTATGAGACAGATTTCCATCCAAATCGTTGCATTTAGCGAATCGAGTGGTGATATATTCGCATGTATGATGTAAAATCAGGTTGTGATGAAACGAGTTGGCAAAATGACAAAAATATTTTATTATTGCAAGTCCACATTCATAAGGATAAAATTTTAGGGGGAAATCCGGTAAGGACGGATGGACGGATATGTCATACATATTTGTCATAAACAGTTAACTGTTGAAATCATAGTTCTTACTATCTCCCGTAATCTGAGTAACATCACAGAGCCATCACAAGTCATAAGACTTTTTTTTCTTTGTAGTTCGTTGGGCATTTCCTTATGAATATTGCTTCGGAATACCAAAGTTGATACAAAATAGAAACAACTACAACATGAAACCATAATTTTCTCTTCTTCTATGACCAGTGGCACATCCATCACAAAGCTTAGTTTTGCTCATGTTTAGCCAAAATAGGCAAACATGTATTTCTTTATGTAAGAACAGAAAGTGTTTGCCCGGCCTTTCTTTTTTCCTAACTTTAATAAGCTTATTGGCGCTTACGTTACCTTCTTCTCAACTAGGTTATAGTAGCATGCAAGTGTAATCTTTTGTGCATCTTTGAACAGATGATCATCTGCCTGAGCGGCCGAGTAAACAAGAGATCTCGACTAACAACTCAATTGGCGAGGGTTCAAATCTTAACTCCCGCAGAGTTTTCAATAAAATTGATAGCCTTAGGTGCTAATGGTAATAAAATACAATAAATGTCAGCTTATCAAACCATTAGTTAGTTTATTTCTACAGGTTTCCTTAAAAGCCTCGATATTTTTAGATGACCTTTCAAGGCCGTGCGACTTCGGTTCATATATATATACATATGTTCTTTTTTTATAAAATTTCTTTCTTCAAAGTTTTTCTCTTTCTCTCGTCAAACGATCAAGTTCGACTACATGTTTTTTCCTAATTAAAAGGACTGCTCAACCAAAGTGCTTCACGACTTGGTTGCTTACTCCATTTTGCTGCATGGCTGGCAAATCTGCTGATTGCTATCCTAATTTATTTTGTTCATCTTAGCAGTCGCGTAAAGTAATAAAGCTTTCCAGCAAGAACAATTTGTACGTCTTCGAGCTTGTTAAGGTGAACGCATTAGTTTTCGCGAATCGTTAAAGTGCGTAAGAGAGCATGATATTATATTACAAGAATCCGCCAAGCGAAAGCTTATGCATTGCAGCATTAGTTTCTTGCGAGTAGTCCTGTCCTGTTCCATTTGCAAAATAAGTTGAGTATGATTTTTCTACCACATTATGTTATCAAGCGTGCATCAAAAAAAAAAAAAAAAAAAAATTTAAAGATCCTTCACTGTCGAGTCTCAGGAGATTCGGGCCAAGTCGAGCATATTTTCTTTCCTATTTTTTGGTTGGTTTTTTTTTTTTTTCGTTTCTTGTCTAAAAACGAAACACATTAACCTTTAATGAATTTCGTTGCCTTCGTTCTTTAAACGAACACCTGATTTCATTAGCAAGTGCACAACTGACCTTGATTATCGAACTAAAATACATTAATCAATTTTATTGTAATTTGTAGGTTTGTTTGGCTCTCTTTTCTTTCTTTCCTGCAGATTTAGAGGACAAATTTACAATTTTAATAATAAACATTTCGCTGAAAAAAACCAAATATATATATATATATATATCTAGAAAATTTGTGACAAATAGAAAAAAAATTTCAAAAATTTCACAGTACTTTACCATTTTCATCTGCATTTAGATTTCCCTTATAAACCGGAACTTTGTCTTTTAATCGGCTTTTGCCTCTTTTTTAGTTTTCTAGATATATATTATTGCAACTTGGTTGTAAGAACGTTAGATATTTCCTTCACGGCAAATATTTGATGGCCGTTGACTGTGATTACAATCATTTTTATGTTAAACAAACAGATCTGATATATAAAGGACCACTCAGTCAGGAGAAGGAAAAAAGAATTTACCGAAAATCGAATTGTGAAAGAATTTAAAAAGTATTCGTTTACCGGAAGCAATTACACAAGTACAACGAACCAATCAATATCAAACACATTGTACCGATTTGTTACTTCAAGTAAATAGTAGGTACACGTATTGCTGTTCTGTGGAGTTCCGTTATGCGTGTAATGCGGTGATTGTCGTAAAGGGGGGGCCTTTTTATTCTTTCCCTCTTCCTCCTAACCATCACCATGCCATATATACAGTAGTGTGCGTCCATTCTCTTTTTCATGCCTTCATTGATTGAGCAGTTATTGCGATCAATTATGGTAAAATTGTTGTGTGACTTGAACCTGCCCACAATGATGTTTATAAATTTATATTTGCTTTATGGCGGTGTAGATAAAACCAAATCTCGTCCATATGTACAACTTTATCTGTATTCAGTTTCAGCTTCAGCTCTCTATTTATCATTTTTTAATTGTGGGCTGAACACGGACGGAGAGGACGACGATACCAACAACAAAATATGTTTTGGCAGAGACGAGTTAAAGAGCAAGTGGATGAAGATGTTCATAGCTTCTTAGAATCCCATATTGATCCAAAATTCATTAATTAATTCATTAAGAAGGCTTTTACCAAAAATTTGTTTACAATCATTATTAATAGAAAGCTTAATTTTTTTTAAATACAGTTTTCACGTAGATATGAAGCGCAAGTGAATTCTTTTGCTACACAACAGTTTATTATGATTATCCAAACATATTATTACACAAGTTCATATCCCGCTCAAAGGACACATCAATAATAAAAAATAAATTATAGGAATTGGGGAATATGCTCGTGTCACACATACAGAGGCATCTTCATCCTCAAATCGATACTATTTAGTGAGAATTAAGGCTTTTTGGTTCCTAGCAACACAGTTCCCTCTTCGAAAGAACACGGTTTAGTGTGGATTACGGAGTCGTAATATTCCGATATGATAAGTAGCCTTTTGTGAACGAACCTCGGTTTCAACGAAACCACGTGTGACACGTCACATAAACGCAAAGTTACTATCGGCAAGAGAATAAATTCAAGAGATTTAGGCCAACAAGATTAGGGACCTTGATACTTTTGCGACAAATAATAATCGGATCACTTTATGATTCCCGTAAACAAGAAATATTTGATTTTTATATCAATCTCCGGATATTGAAGACCTACCTGCTTTCGTTGTCTTTTAACAAATCTAATTGAACGCCATAAAAATGTATGCATATGTAACTTACGTAACTTAGCTTTGAAGACCATGCAAATGCAAATAATTAGGACTTGACGTAATAAACTACGGAGGGAAAACTTTTAAGACAATGTATGGAACGCAATTAAATGACGATAAGTTGTAGCTACTGCTACAACAGTTGGTATTCAAAGCATCAAAGCTTACACTTGGCAGAATAAGCCAGAGGAGCGACACACAGATAAAATTCCTGGCGGAAAACTTCATACTTTTCAATAACTTTCCTAACCTCTGCCCCCGTCGTCGGAGAATTCTTTCTAAATTGTAGGTGTAGAAGAAAGTTTTCTATGCTGAAATTGATTGCTTTATAAAGCCCAGTTGGTTGCGTTAATTTCTTGCGAAATTCCAGATGTAGATGACCTTTTTTTTGAGTTGCAGTTGTTTACTTGGTTTTAGTTACGGTTTGGTTTAAAGAGATGGAAATCCCTTAAGGGACTGCATTCTATTCTGTTTTAAAGTGGAGAAAAATGTGGAAATGATTAAGTTGGATTAGAGTGCAAATGCAATACGCTATGAAATATTTATAAAGTGGTTTTCAAAATATCGTCAAAAATATTGTATCCTTGAAGGCAATGAAGGTAAGTCTTTCATAAATCCGTCCACCTACAGGGACGGCGCTCCAGGAAGCGATGTTCAACGTGGAAAGGGGGGTGGGGGGCGGCTTTTTCTTTTTCCGTGATTATTCTCCAGATTTGTCTCGTTCCGATTAGCATTTGCTTAGATTGATGCTGTCATATCTAGCATATCAATGGCACTGCAAAGTTGACGATGTATGAAAACATGTCGACGACTATTTTCCCTCGGAAAGAAAATTTTCTACCACGAGGACATTAACAAGCTACCGGGTCAGAGACAAAGCATCGTAAATAGTTTTTAAATAAATTTGCATTTTCTCGAAAAACACATACAGAGAACATATTCGTATACCTAATATTGGTGGGTGTAAAAAATTATGACAAAACAAATAATTTAGAAATTTGATCTGTGCAATAGCAATTTTTAAAACGAAATCTTGAAAAGGTAAGCAAACCATGTTAACGGCGGCAGGAGGAAGGTCAAAGCGCAAGCAAAGATTTTTAAATGCTTAGCAATCTTAGGTTCAACACAATCATTAATCTTAAAGTGTGTGTTGCTGCTACATCTAATTATTCTCAAATTAATCTCTAATTATTCTTGTTCTGCTCTCTTTACAGTCTGAACAAGAATACGATAAAGAACAACTGAGAAGTAAGATAGATCATCATCTAAAAAGGATTTTTTAAAAATTTCCCTTTACTGAAGAAGTTATTATCATCCATTTTTTTTCTTTTTAGTTTTACGCAACGCTTTCAAAGCTTTCGATCATGATGATAAAGGATTCATTGAACACGCCGATGTCCATCAGATTTTGGAAATTTTAGGTCAAAAGCTCGACGATAAGCAAGTGAAAGGCTTAATTAAAGAAGTCGATAAAAGCAATTCCGGCAAATTGGATTTCGCTAAATTTTGTAAGCTGGCCGCCCGCTTTGTCGAGGTTGAAGAAGATGGACCGGTATTAATGGGCGAATTGAAAGAAGCTTTCCGTGTCTACGATCGAGAGGGCAAAGGCTATTTGACTGTACAAGTATTGCGTACCATTCTTAAGGAATTGGATGACAAATTAAGCAATCAGGACTTAGATATGATCATTGATGAGATTGACGCTGATGGTTCCGGCACAGTAGATTTCGATGGTAAGTGCAAAGTCACACATAGAGTTGTTTTTTTTTTTAATTTTCTTCTTTTTTTCAAATTTCTTCCCCATAGAATTCGTGCAAGTGATGACAGGTAAAATTGACTTTTTATATCATTATACCCTACTTGTGCCTCAAAGACATATTAGTTCTATGCGGATGTATGCTACACACACGACTTCAGACAGGGCGACCTTTTATTATATCGATCTACTTGTTTTCTGGATTGTCTGTCCGTCTGTCCGCGTGTCCATCTGTCCGTCCTCTTTTCGTACATGCGACTTGCAGACCATAATTTTTGGGAAATTTTGATGAAATTTTATACCCCGTCGTGTTTTAGCCCAAGACCGCACGTGGATGAAAATGTAACGCCTTATTTGGAACAGTTATGAGTAATTGTGAAGTGTTGTACGGTATTTACTGGTGGGCCGAAGCCCGCTATAGTGTTTTTACTTGCTTTTGATTGATTAATTGACTGATTTGAATATACTTTCCAGGTTAAGAAGAAGTCAAGCCAAACATTTATGCAGCAGCAAAGTGCTATCAAACCAAAGAAGACATGTTTATTACCCTTTTGTTGTAATATTGAAATAAAACTAATTGGTGGAGTTTGCCGTTTTATTTTATCTTCATCTTTTTATTTTTATTCTAAATTTGGTTTTTTTTTTTTTCCTTTAATTTAACTTAAACCACTGTACAAAGTTTCGTGTAAAGAAAAAACAAAAAAATATAAAAATAAATAAATGATAACGAGCATGAAGAATGAAAAAGAAACTATTTTAAAAGTTTTGAGTGCAGAAAGATAATATTTGCGAAAAACTAAACCTGTGTATATCAGCCTCATCTTCCCCGATGATCTATCTTGGATTCTCTTGGTCATCATTTTATATTCTGATCAATAAATTAGACGATGATTAAGGTCTACTCGTTTCCTACAGTACTACTAAGTGCAATAAATGACAGGATCCCTACTCCAGTTTATACGGTAAAGACTCTAAATGTTCTTAGTCATGTTTGCTCTCCGCCTCGCACGCATCGTCAAAGCTATACAACATCTGCGATTGCAGCTGAATGTTATTCATGTCTTAATAATAGGATCTCTACTCCAGTTTATACGGTAAAGACTCTAAATGTTCTTAGTCAGGTGTCCTCTCCAGCTCCCATGCATCGTCAAAGGTTTACAGCATCTGTGATTGCAGCTGAATGTTATTCATGTTCTACGGTTAAATGCAGTAAATAATCGGATCCCTACTCCAGTTTATACTGTACGGGCTCTAAATGTTCTTTGTTAGGTTTCCCCTCCATCTCCCACGCATCGTTAAAGCAATACGACATATGTGGTTACCTGACATTGGCTCTTGTAGACGTTGATACTAAAAACGTTAAGCTGTGTAAAGAATAAAGGCAAAGACAACTTCAATCGGTTTTATTATTATGGCTCTAGTCAATGCAGAGAATGCTTAAAAAAATTTCCAAATTGTTTATTATTGATTTCTAAAGCGGTCTTCTGTGTGTTTTTCAAATAAAAATAATACTTCGTTATAAACATTTAACATTGAGTGATTTGTCGCGTTGTGTGCTTTTTTTCTTTGGTCATTATAAGAATTTTATAATATTAATGCACACTATAAGAATTCCTTGTAGAACAGAGAAAAATTTCATGATTTTAGCAAATATTTAAAAAAACACTTAATTACCCGAGTTGGGTAAGGCAACCTAACACAAATAATTAATTAAACCGAAACAAAAAGAGAAACAATATTTAGGTGGTAATAACAAAAAAATAATTGACTGCGAAAACCAAATATGGATGAAAGCAACACGAAAAAGTGATTGTTGATGAAATTAATATTTAGTGGTTAAGTTTTCTGTTATATTACGGTTATTGGAAATGCTTTTAGCACGTCAATCATCTGAGTGAAGGAATTTTATGCAACAAGAAAGTTGAGCATACCTTAAGTCGAATTTCGGATACCCTGTTGTCACATATGAACATCTAAATATTAAACTGACGGAAAAGTTATGCTGTAAGATACGTCTTAATAATACTTATTTAGAATACTTGTTGTCATCTTTCCGGCAGCTTATCGATCACAAAATGTTCAGCATCTGCCATGGGGACAGCTTTGAAAGAAGTATATTCTTTTGCCATCAGAAAATATATCAGAAATCAAATAGATAGCAATTCGGAAAGGGATAACGGAATAAGAGCTTCCTATGCAAGCTCATTCATCGTTCGTGGCATGACAGCATTGTGGAATTTTTGGAACTTAAAGTAAATGCGGGGTCTTGAACGGGCTTTTTCCATCCAATATTGAAGATAGTTATCTTATATCCTACGAGAGGTGCGCAAGAGAAGAAAACGACACATTCTACCTGGTTGCGTTAATCTGAGCCCGCATTCTCTTTGCTTGGCTTGACGTGATAAGTTAAATTACGTTCACGTAATAAGAGCGAGCACAATTTTCTGCTGAATCTAATATGTAGAGAGAATTTTCCCCCCCAAATCGCATATAGATTTATCATAAGCGAATAGTGAGCAACGTTAAGCGACTAGTGTTCCGTAAATAGACATTAATTTGTACATATTTCAGCCCAAATTATAAACGGTAGCCAGGAGGAGAGTCAAGGTTAAGCAGCTTCATTTCCATTAATTTAAAATCCAAACAATTCTTTTGATTAGATTGAACAAGGGGTCTTTTCCTTAAAATTCAAAAGGACGTTCGATATGCATTCTATTTTCCGTTTGAAGCGTTCGAATCTTCTTACCATTATCAACAAAGATAAGCGAGTAACTATCCAAGTTCAATCTGATACTATCGTTAGTAATGTGGCCGCTAAATTCATAATAACTTGCAATTTTTATGTTCAGTTCAAACCTACACAGGTTTATATAATTTATTTATGTTTCAATTTTGACACTTTATTATTTATTTCTCGCAAATTCCAAGATATACTAAGTTTGCTTTGCCGTTTGCAACGCGTAAATTGAATTATGATTTGTAGAATCGATATTATGTCCATACCTTATGAAGCTCAAACCATTCCGTCAGAGGGGCACTAGACTCCTTCCATCCTACTCGCCCTTTGCTTCCTTCGTACTGGTATTCATCAGCGTTGCTGAAAACCTTATTCATTCATTCGTGGATGACAGCACATTGCGTCACTTGTTCTCTTTCACCAAGAGGCCAGATAGTACAGAGATGCCCAAGAAAGTCTGTGTGACGAGTAACACGCTAAAGATAACTAAACAGAGTCGGATTAATAGATTAAATCTTAATGCTGGCACAATACAGTGCTGGCTCTTGTTGCATAGAGAAGATCGCAAACAACCCGGGCAATCCTTGATGTTCTGGACATGGAAATACAAACTGGTGTTCGCCGTGCAGACCATATATTCGAAGCCTCGAAAGGCAAAGTCACGGGCCTTGATTTTTTAAATACTCCACCGTAACCGATATCCCTGCACCACCAGTATCCGTTCAACATTAGAGTGTAACTGGCAAGTCTTGTTTGAAGATCTTCGAGCGCGCGGAGCGAAATGCTCATGGGTGACGAGAGTCCCAAACTCTTGATAGCCTTGAGCGTCGGCATAATACGGGCTGAGTAATATTTACATATTCGTACATCCAGGTCAAGTGTTCTACAGATGTAAAAGGGATTTGTCCATCAATTAAATTTTTTACAGAAATCACAGAGCGTTGTCCCATCTACTTGTCCTGAAACTGCCTGTATCCCATGGAACACACTACCGAGAGTCGCCCTTCTGTAATCGCATTGCATGTCTTTGGAACAACCCACCATTAATGAGTTCTCTCTAATATAATATATGCGCTTTAAGGGCAAACACGATCACCATCATCCATGCATGTACAGGAAACATTCCTTAAGTGACGCTTCATATATACATACAAACAAACTCAGCAAACAATATACTCAAAAAAAGTTTGATCCAAAGCTCCATCAGAAGTGTGTTTTATTTGCATCTACTTTCGGATCCACAAAACGGATAGCCTTGCACTTTTATATGTGTAGTTGCATTAGTATTTATATTTACATTAGCTTAAAAAATGCTTTTATATAAATAAAAAAGTCTTTAAATAGCTGCAATCAGTGTTTCACTAGGTGGTCTACCTTTCGGGATATCGACGGCCTATATCCATTTCTATTAAATGAGCCAGTTTGACTCATAATCTTTGCGGAATCGACAAAGTCTCAGAACGAAGTTCGACACAAGTATGCCTTGACTACTTAAAATTTGAACTTTGGTTGTGAAGTACAACTAAAGTCGATGTAAGGAATAAAGAAAGCTTCTAGAAAACAGATGCTTCCAGATTTTTAAATTTAAGAGATCGCTACAATGTTCAATCCAGAAAACATATATTTTGAGTAGACATTCCACACATCTTTTCGGTCTTATTTTATCCTCTACTTTGCGATTGATACAAAATGATTTCACCCAAGCTCTGAAGCAAACCATCAGTCGCTTTTTATTAAAGAGAGTAGACCTGGGATTGGGTAAACGCTAGGTTGACAATAGTCGTTCATGTGGCATTCAACGCAGCGAACATTTTTATTGGCCGCGGCGTTAACCTAAAGGCTTATGACCACTACGTACGGAGCCCTTTGAAGCGGCATTAATCTACACTACTCCTCCCTTTCCCGTATGAGTATTGGCGTTGAAGTAGTAAGTAATTTCCTTTTCGTGGATATCTTAAAATATAAATTTAAACAAAACGAAGCGGATGAAATTCGCTAGTGTTGGGTATTCAAGTATCATTTCAAACCGCATACAAACTTTCTCTCTCTCGCATTTACATTTTGGAGAACGACAACCTTAAACATTTAAGCTGGCATTAAGAACATTAACCGCCTAAATTGTAAGGCTATGCTGACGGTTACAAATTCAAGTAATTAAAATGTCGTTTAGTCGCGTATTTGTGTTGTTGTTTAAATTGACCTGAATTAATATGGTGGCAGTGCGTAGTACGCAAATTCTTAACATATCAACATGTGTAAGAATATGTAAAAATTTATCTAATTTTTGTAATTCTTGAAATGTGTGCATATAAATTAAAATTGAAATGTAAAGAAAAAAGTAGACAGAAAAATAAAATAAAAACATTAAGAAACTGGCATAAAACGCATCAGGTGTCAAGTAATGCGGCGATTGAAAGCCACGAGCCAATCTATCGTAACCAATAACTCGATTCGAGAATCAACCGTTCTATGAACCAACTCAACATATTAATGTAATGTAATAAATTTATTAATATATTTTATATTTTTTGTTTTTTTTATTTTAGTCCATGAAAAAATGCTTTTAATGTATGAGTGCGTGTGTATATAAGCACGGGGGTCATTTTCTTATTAGCTGTGAAATAAATAACATTTTGTTTGCGCGCTAGTAGTGTATTAGTATTAGTCGTTTTAGTCTGTGATTTTGCGATAGTGCATAATTAACGTTAACGAAAAGCATACCGTACATAAATACATACATACATACATGCATACAATTTTGTATACCAATGTATGTATGTATATTTGTATAAAAAGGGGGTGGAATGAAATGTTTGTTGTGCACTGTTAACACAATCTCACAATTTGTCATAACATTTCAATTGTTGGCTGG